TGTGGAGGTGAACCAGTGATTTTTGGGTAACATTTTCTCTCTTGTTGCTTGGTTGTTGTTTTGTTCTGTTTCGTTCTCCATTTGTAGTAAAATTGTTATTAATTTCTACACTTTTCTCAAACATCTCATAATTTCAAATTTTTGTAATTTGGAGGAAGGGGTTTCTATTCCATCTGAGGTCCTGCCTCCTGGCACACACTGTCTATAAAGCCAGGACACCTTTGCATTTCCATTAGGAGAATTTTTATAGTTCTTACCTTTCTTGGCCCACTCCACCTTGTGCCATTTTTTTTCCTGGGAAGGGTTCCTAGAGTGGGAGGCATATTTGACCAGGCTCTGTATTCTTCCACTACAGCACCACAGAGAAAACCTCTGGAATATTCTGCCAGGAATCCTTTTTTTTTTTAAAGGAGGAATCACTGACTTGAAACAGGGGGTCCTTTTGGACAGAGGAAGAGGGGTGAGCATAGGGTATCCATACAGGTGTACAGCTGTACATTGTCATACGGGGGGGGGAGGCTGGCTGGTGCCACAGCTCTGGCAAAGGATGAGGAGACCTCATTAGGCACTGTTTAATTTATCACCTGGTTTGAATGTCAAGGGTATGCTGCTGGTTCACTCCACTGGTCCCTGTGGAGTTACACATAGACAAACCTGGTGGAAACTGCTGGAGGGAGAAGACAAGTCAGTGCACAGATGCAAGTTGCTTTGTTTTTCATAGTTTCAATGAGACCTGAATATTTTAAAGTAGGATTGGGTTTTTTTGTTTGTTTTTTTTTAACTTTTTTTTATGTCAGCATTTACAGAAAAAATATTTTAAAAAACATACCCCCTTGGGGCGTGTTGTGATGGGAGACACTAGGGCTCTGCTTGCCCTGGCCTGGGTGCAGACAGCAGGGCCAGGGAAGGGGCTTATCTCACACTGGCACCATGGCAACCCCATGGGGGTTTTGCATCCCCTTGGGGCTCCCAGGATGTGGCTGACACAGGCACCAGAAAAAACATTTGCCCATAAAGCACCAAGCAAGAGGAGTCATAAGGGCAGATGGTTTGAACCAAATCCCATAGGCATTGGGCTTTGGGAGGGGCCTGGGCAGAGGCTGCCAAACCCCAAGTGGGAGACATGGCTCACTGCCCTCTCCCATGCAAGAGCTCAGGGCCATAAAAATCACCCTACAACAAGCTAATCCCAGCAGACAGGGCTGAGAGCTGCTAATGGGCTGGGCGGGCTGGGGGCAGAGCCAGTACAGCCCCCTCCCACCAGCCACGGGGACTGAAATGCTGCCAGGGATGCCCATAGGGCAAAGGATGCCACTTGGGAGGGCATATCCATGGGGCAGGGGATACCTATAGTGGAGGATTGCCCATGGTGTGGGGATGCCCTTGGGGCAGGGATAGCCATAGGGAGGGGATGCTCATGGGACAAGGATGCCTAAGGGGAGGCTCCTGGGGCCAGGGATACCCATAGAGATGGCCTAGACTGGGATAGTGGACATGCTGAGCGTGGCCCCTGCCTGCCCTCTGCTGGCAGAAGCACCCTGCTAAGCCCAGAGACTTTTGGGGTGCTGCAGGGCCCCAGTCTCTAGGGTTAGGGACCAGTCTCTAATGCCAATGCCTTGGGGGGGGGAACCAGTCCTCCATCCTGCTACATCTGGTCCTCTGTGGGGCCTGCCTGTAAGGCTGGGGGTGGGGGATGGACATGGGACACACAAGGACACAGGGATGTAGCTCTGGGGCCACATGGGGAACCCCAGGAGGGCACAAGGAAATGCTGACCACTGCAGTGAAGAAAGGGCTTCCCTCAGCTGCCCAATTGGCCATTCCTGCTCCATTCAGGACAAGCCCCAGCTGCCAGCACCTTTGGGGCTGCCCAGTCTCCCCAGTAAGATGCTGGGCAGGGGAGGAGTGTGCTGTGGGAAGGTTCTTTCTCATGCAGCTCCCAGGGGTCTCTGCTGCAGGGGTGGCCCCTGGAAAAGAGCATGGACTGGGGCCAAAGAGTCCCTGGTGCTGCATGGCTTTCCTGGGGCTGCTGGGGGTGGAGGTGCATAGGGGGTGAGGGAAGCCCTAGCCAAGCTCCCTGACTGATGCAGGTGTTGATTTAGGGGACACCTTCAGCCCCCTAGCAGTTTTACACAGATTCAGTGTAGGGCAGATGCTCTCAGTACCCCTGTGGGTGCTGTCCCCACCAGGAGCCATGATGAGAGTTTCCAGTCCTTGTGATGGATTTAATTAGCATTTGCAATTATGAGAGGTGGCACAGAAGGTTTTGGGAAGCTGGGACACATATACCCTACTGTCCTATACACTGCTTGCCCCAGCCCCCACAGCACAGAGACACCAGGGTAAATTTGCTGGGGGCTTGCAGAATGGTCGCATCCCCAAACAGGCAGGACAAAATTCACCCAATACCAGTGCTGGAGAAGGTTGCGGAAGAGTCCTAGAGAGCTCCCAGCAGAGGTGGAGAACCTTTCCAGGTGGTTGGTTCCCTCCCTGGCTGGAGCTGCCTCTCTTAGGCTTGCACTGATAAATGGGTAGGACATGAAAGCAAAGCCAGTATCTGCTTCCACCCTGCTTGGAGTAGCACAGAGCAACTGAGAAGTACAGGCAAGGAAGCAGCCCTGGAGTAAAGGCTTCCAGGTGCCAGTTACTCCCAGAAAGGGGAGTGCCAGCCCTCCCTGCTTAGCTCTCCTGCCTCCCAGGTATCTGTCTATGAGAGGAACAGGACATCCTTAACCCTGGTGCCATAGGAGACAATGGCCAGCATTTTCTCTGCAAGGCAGAACAGAGGTGGCATAAGGACAGGGCAAGAATGATGTTGGCAGGCAGACAGCTTTTAAGTAGGACAGAGGACCTGAACAGGGGCTACCTGCCCTTCCCAGGGGCTTACATGTCCTCCTATGATAGTAGGTTTTTCTCCCCATTGCTATGCACTAGCCCCCTTCTCATGGATAGTCCCATCCTTCTACCATTTTGAGACAAGACTCTTGCCTATCTCCCCTCTTCCCTTAAATCTAGACAGGTTGATGAAGCCTTCCTAGGTCTGCCAGGCTTTGGGGCTGAAACTCACATTGCTCAGACCCCACATAACTCCTGCCACAGGGAAGGTTGCCCTCATCAGCGTGGCTCAGCCCCAAAAGCCTAGGGCACCCTTCTGCCACACAGTCTACATTTAAGTTTCTTTGCAGATATCCTCAGTTCACAGTCACAGAATCAACTTGGTTGGAAAAGACCTCTGAGATCACCGAGTCCAACCCATGACCCAACACCACCTTTTCAGCTAGACCAAGGCACTGAGTGCCACATCCAGTCTTTTCTTAAACACTTCCAGGGATAGTGAATCTACCACTTCCCTGGGCAGCCCATTCCAATGTCCAATCATTCTTTCTGTGAAGAACTTCCTAATGTCTAACCTAAACCTCCCCTGGCACAGTTTAAGACTGTGTCCTCTTGTCCTGTTGCTAGTTGCCTGGGAGAAGAGATCGATCCCCACCTGGCTACAACCTCCTCTCAGGTAGTTGTAGAGAGTGATGAGGTCTCCCCTGAGCCTTCAAGCTAAACAACCCCAGCTCCCTCAGCCTTTCCTCATAGGACTTGTGCTCGAGTCCCTTCACCAGCCTCGTTGCTCTTCTCTAGACACACGCCAGCACCTCAATATCCTTCCTGAACTGAGGGGCCCAGAACTGGATACAGTACTCAAGGTGCAGCCTAACCAGTGCCAAGTACAGGGGAAGAATCACTCTCCTGGTCCTTGCTGGCCTGATACAGGCCAGGATGTCATTGGCCTTCTTGGCCACCTGGGCACACTGCTGGCTCATGTTCAGCCAGCTGTCAATCAGAACCCCCAGGTCCCTTTCTGCCTGGTTGCTCTCCAGCCACTCTGTGTCCAGCCTGTAGCGCTGCAGGGGGTTGTTGTGGCCCAAGTGCAGGACCCAGCACTCAGCCTTGTTGAACCTCATACTGTTGTATTCAGCCCATCTATCCAGTTTGTCCAGGTCCCTCTGCAGAGCCCTCCTACCCTCCAGCAGATCAATGCTCCCTCCCCAACTTGGTGCCATCTGCAAATTTGCTAATGGTAGACTCAATCCCCTCATCCAGATCATCAATAAAGATATTAAACAGGACTGGGCCCAACACTGATCCCTGGGGGATGTCAGTTCCTGCACCCTCCCCAAAAGTCAATAGCACATGACCACTCTGTGCATCTTATGGCCATTGCGTCAAACAGGTTCTCCCCTTCAGTTCACAGCTGGGTCATACCCAGCCTGCTACACTGCTCCTGTGTGCGTGATGGGACCAGACTCAGGGCTTCTCTCATATAAAACACTGAAGTACAGCAGTCGCACATTGTTCAGTTCAGAGGAGGGAAAATAAACCAAGGAGCAAGGTAGCAACCTGTAAGCATAAAGGAAGGATAAGAACTATGATCAGAACTCAACTACTGAGGCAAAACGAGGGGCAGGCTGGCAGCAGACAGCCATGCCTGTCATCAGAAACCCAAAGGGATGCATGAAACATTGCAGGGGAAGGGGGAAAATCTCTCCACAGAGCCTGGTGAACAGTGCTGCAGCATCCCTTCTTTCCTAATCATAGTGGGGTAATGTTGCACCACAAACTGCAGAGACAGCCCAAGAGCCCCCTTGTGCCTGCCTTCAGACAGGGCAGATGGAATGATGATTACTGAAGTCCTTTGCTGCAGAGGAGCTAAAGCAGCAAGAGATCTGACAGCTCAGGGCCAGCATCAAAGAAGCAAGAGATATCTGCTACCAGGCTCTCTCACTTGGTGTTTCCTGCCAAATTGGGGCAGGGGAGAGACAGACTGCCAAGTCAATTTTTTTTGTTAACTCGGGTTAAGAGATATAACAACAAAGAGCAAGCCTTGAACACACCAGGGAAGCATGCATACAGATGGGCTCCATCAGACTGAGGAGTGCTCAGATAGCACATGAGACATGAGGTTTACAGAGACAGCACAAGCTACACTGCACCAGTCACACACAAAGGAGTGTTGTGGGATTTTTATTATTTTTTATCATTTTTGTGGGATTTTTTCTATACAGGTTAGCATTGTATTCTTTGTTAAAGCTGTTGATTCTGCCACATAAACTAGAACAGAAATTTCTCAGAAACTAAGTCAGTTTCCCTCCTTTTTAATTCACTGTCTGCCTCCCAGTTGAACACTGCTCGGGATTTGTGTTTGCAGAAAACATTCCCTGTACTAAGTCTGATATGCAGCTACACTGTCCTGACTGAAGAATGAAGAAGCCAAGAGTCCACTGAACATTGGATTTTTTTGCTGTACAACAAGGCCTGATGTGGCGCTGGTCCACCAAGGAGGGAGTTAACCGTAGAGATCATCATCATTGTCTTCGCTATAGACGTTGCCCCCGCTGCCACCTCCTGTGCTTTGGTTTGGACCAGCACCACCCTGGTTACCTGATGGGAACCTGCATGCAATGGTGCAGAAGGGGAGAGAGAGAAGAGATGCTGTTCAAAAGCCTACTCACAGCTCAGCACCATCCCCTCCCTCTGTGCTAATCCCCTGTGACAAGTAGGAGAGGCAGGAGAAATGGGATGAAACCTTACAGCAGATCACACAAAAGGCTTATATGACTTCTGGCTGTCACTTGTGTTAAAAGGATAAAGGGTTGTTGGACTTCAGGAACACTAACAGAGCAGTTACAACCAACATGCAGCACAGCCTACACCTGCCACATGCTCAGCTGGCTGTTGTACATGCTGGGGAGAATGGGAAAATGCATTGGAAGAGGGAATTTGTTACCCAGAATCCAGCAGAAAGCTGCCTCAATACTCTGTTCTGGGGCTAACTGAGCCATGCTGCCCTTCTCCCCACTCCACCATGGTTACCTGAAGCTGCCAAAGCCACGGCTCTGCTGTAGGGTCTGTGCAAACATCTCATATTTCCTGATGTCGTTGTCACTGACAGAGCGGCGAGCAAAGCGCATGGCCTCCTCAAAGTGATCCCTGCGTATCTCAGGAACAGGGTCATCCTCCTCCACCTCCTGCAGTAGGACAGAGGGCCCAGGTGAGCTGCATGCCCAAGCTCTATGGCCCGACAGCCACCCACAGCCTCCCGCTAGATCAGGAAGCTCCAACGCCCACCAAAGTTGGGGCTGGAGAGAGATACTGTGGCAGACAGGGCTGCAGCAGGGGCCTTCTGAGAAATGCTGACAGTGAGGTACCCCAGGAGGGCCTCATGCTCCCATTCCATGCTCTGTGCTGAGACCCCACTCATCCCCACCTGAGGATATGAAGAGGAATGCATCCTGCCTCACCCACAGGCAGAGGTGGGCTGCCTGTCTCATGAGCAGGGAAAACTCAGAGTGTCCCACTCACCATGGCAGAAGGGTTGGTCTGCCTCTCACGCTCTCGCCTGATCTCACTCTCAATGGATTCGCGGATGGCCAGTTTACAGGCACGCTGGCAAATTTCTGTCAGGTCAGCCCCCGAAAAGCCATTGGTCATCTTAGCTAGAAAATCCAAGTCAACGTCCTAGTGGAAAAAAAAACCCAAAACAACAAAAACAACAACCAACCAAACAAAAAAAAAATACCAAGAGAGGCCTGTCCTTTACACCTTACACCCTCAGGCGACAAAAAAATTGTCCTTAGATCCCATGGTATAAAGGTGCTGTTTTAACTTTGGCCCATTTTGAAAAGATGAGCTGTTAAGGTTCTTGGTTTTGGAAAAAGTTAACCACATACAAAGGCAGGCCATATTACCCTCACACACAGCAAGACCCTGTGAAGTAGCTGTAAATCACAGACTGGTTTAGGTTGGAAGGGACCTCAAAGATGATCTAGTTCTAACCCCCCTGCCATGGGCAGGGACACCTTCCACTAGACCAAGTTGCTCCAAGTCCTATCCAACCTGGCCTTGAACATTTCCAGAGATGGGGCATCCACAATTTCTCTGGACAACCTGTGCCAGTGTCTCACCACCCTCACAGTAAAGAATTTCTTCCCAATATCAAATCTAACCCTGCCCTCTGTCAGTGTGAAGCCATTCCCCCTTGTCCTGTCACTACATGCATTGACAAAGAGTCCCTCCCCATCTTTCCTGTAGGCCCCCTTTAGGTACTGGAAGGCTGCTATAATGTCTCCCTGGAGCCTTCTCTTCTCCAGGTTGAACAGCCCCAGTTCTCTCAGCCTGCCTTCATAGGACAGGGGCTCCAGCCCTCTGAGTGGGGGTCTCACAAGAGTGGAGTAGAGGAGAAGAATGCCTCTGCACTGTTCACCCTCAAGAAGAGGCAGGTTGACTTGTGGATTTAGGAGATGATTTATCCAGGTCTCAGCATTAGGAGTCAAATGAAACACTGTCAGACTGGAAATGGCACACAGGCAGATCAAGACAACCAACCTCCTGCTCCTTCCCTTCAACCGAGGGAGTAGTACTGCAACCTCCTTTGAAACTTTCCTTCCCAACAGCACCTAAAAAGGTAAGCTTGGCATAAAATAGCTTGAGCTCTCACTTGACATCTGTTTTTCTCTGATTAACTACCAGTTGCATTACTGCCTGCTCCCTAGGCAAGCTCTTGACTATGATAAGAGTTCAGCAACAATTCACTGCAGCAGTTCCTCTTCAATTTCCATTTCCCACCCATTTTCTACATTTACTTTTCTTTTAGAGTACAAGGATCTTTTCCATCTTGCCATAACGGGCTTTCTTGTTCCCACACTGTGGGCAACACTCCACCATGTGACAAAGACCTGCTGTGCTTACACACCAACACCTAGTCTCAGAGCTCAAGCCTCCCCCTACCTCTTCACTTCCATCCTTCAGGGACTGAAGTTTTCCCAGCTTGGGATTGCATGGAGCAGTCACCAACCCTCTGCTCTATCCCCAGCTTGTGAGGAGCATGTGCAGCCTACAGCAAACCCAAGCCAGATGCAGTCAAAGCACAGATTCTACCTTGGCAACTGGTGATTTCCTCAGGTTGGCCTTAAGAATTGCAACCCGGGACTTCTCATCAGGCAGAGGGATGTAGATGAGCTGATCCAGGCGACCAGGGCGCAAGATGGCTGGGTCAATGATGTCTGGCCTGTTGGTGGCACCAATGATGAAGACATTTTTCTTGGTGGACATGCCATCCATCTCTGTCAGGATCTGATTGATGACACGGTCTGCAGCACCACCGCCATCACCGATATTCCCACCTCGAGCCTTGGCAATGGAGTCCAGCTCATCAAAAAAGAGCACACATGGGGCTGCTTGGCGGGCCTGCAAAAAGCAAATGGGAACAATTACTCCATGTTAATACCAATAGGTGAGGAACACGCTGACTTCACACTAAGCCTACCCTACAATTAAAGCAGCTCAGAGGAGTACACCAGAGCCCTGCCACCACAAGGACAGCTTAGATGAGTTGCTATGGAACAGTCACCTGCCACACAAACAATTAAATTCTCCTGAACAACAAGCTGCACTTCCCCAAAGCTAGGAGCACAGTGAACCAGGCAGAAGGGTGGTAATTCCAATGCCTAGAGGACAAGTTGAAGCCAATTTGCCTGGACCAGAACTCTCCCTGCAGGATCTGGGGATATCAATTGGTTATTTAGCCACTCGAATATCAGTAGGTGAAAAATATCAAATGGAAGGGGGAAATCTAATCTATGTCTTCAGCTACTTAATAGGTAAAGGGAAAAGGAAGCCATATCTTTCTTAAAAATGCACAGCAAAAGGATGAAAGACCAGAGACGAATGGCTGCAAAGAAAATTCCAGTTACAAATAAAGGGGAAAAAATTCTTCATAATGAGAGAGCTCAAACGCTAGCACAAGGCCCAGAGAGGTCAGGGATTCTCCATCCTTAGCACATGTTCAGAACATAAGGCCCTGAGCAACCTGATTGAATTTCCAAGTTACCTCCCTGCTCTGGACAAACAGCTGGACCAGATGGCCTCTGAAGTTCCCTCTTAACCTAAATTTTTTACTCTCCTTCCAACTTTGTTCTTTTAGCACCTTCCCTGACCACAGGAGTGAAGATTCCCAAGATCATCATGGATAGGCTTCGCGAACGAAGATTTGAGAAGGGCTCTACCCATGCTTGCTACAAGTGCACTGATGGCTAAAAAGGCCAATGCGAGACAGACAAGTCCGGTTGAAGAAGGCACAGCAGAAAGACTC